GGTGAATACACTCCCGCACGTCACCATAGCGGGAGTGTAGTGTGTAGAGAATTGAGGGGTTGAGAACCAAAAACCCGTACAGTTTGACAAGGTTGAGGAATACTGAGCTAGCTGAATATTACCCAGAAGTGGGTCTCTCAGACTGCTGGTTCACCTACACCAGCAGTCCTGCCTTGTCTTGGTTGGGGGTCACATTTGGCATTTGGGGAGCACGGCCTGGAAACTCCCAGCTCATTTCCAAGATGGCTGCCAAAACAAGGTGACCAATCATAAAGGAAAAAAGTCAGGCCAGTGTAACAAGACTGACCATCCAAACATGCTTTGTACCCCCTCCCCTCTGAAAAACAACCAGCTTGTCGCTCTAAAATCAGCACCATGAATTTCAGTCTATCCACCATTTAAATTCCCACAATGCCCCTTGGGGAACAAGGCTATGGGCCGCACTAAGGTGCCTTTCCAACCTTTAACCAAGGTCGTGCTCCTCACCTCTAGGTTGCAGCAAAAATAAGAGCGCATCTGGTGCCCTCAGGAAGCCTTTCAAATTCCTTGCCAACCCCTCCGTATGATGGCATAAAAACCCCAGGAATACATAGTATAGCACAACCCAGCAAGAATTCAGGTAACTTACATTGACAGATGACTAGAGACTGAAAATTAACACCACTTCCTTCCATATATGCTCTCCCTCACCTGAAAAAGGGCTCATATCAAAAAGGGGGGAGAGGCAGAATTTCTGCTTAGAGATGTCCAGCTTCAGTTCTACACTCACTCCCCCCCAAAAAAAACTTACTCAGCTCCCCCTCTCTCCATTACAATTTAAAGGACTAACTTATTTATCCAAACAGCCTTGTAAGCCTTCCAAAACATTTAGAGAAACAGATGTAGAAACAAAAAAATGTCCTATTTCCTTAGGGCCAAACGACACGGTACACGCAGTCATATGGAAGTTTCCTCCAACTTTTATTTTTCTAATGAAAAGCAGCTTCAGGAGGATGCGTGCTTGGATAGGGCACTGGCAAAGAGGAAGGGGCTGCCTAATTCTTTTTCCTTGGCCCCATTTACATCCCCTCCCCATACTGCTTTTTTTTTTCTCAAAGAGGAAAAAACACAAGGGTCCTGATAAGGAAAAACCCAGGTGGGCTGAAAAGACCATGGGGGAAAAAACATCGTAAGTACAGGAAAAAATGTGTTTCTCCTTACCCACTCCCCTTCCATTCTAACAGTCAAACACTGTTAAGCATGAGAATGGCATAAACCCAGGTTTAGGACAGACCCAAGGACATAGCAGCTCCTTCTCGATATCTCCATAACCACAGCACCTCCATCTCTCTCTCTCTTCATAACCAGATTCTGGTTATCCCCTCTGCTCTATCGTGGAATTGGCAATCCACAGCCTATGTATTGGCCCAACTCTGATTTTTGCAGTCCCCAAGCAGCCACAGAACATGTCACCAAAGCTAACAACCAAGTCACAGCTTTTCAGTGGCACAATGTTGTAGGTTTGGGGCAAAAGGAAAGGAAAGGTATTCCCAGAGAAGGAAACATGGGACAAAAATATCAGCCCCATTCAGCTCAATGGTTTTTAGAGAGCCCCCAGTATTTAAAATCCTAAAGTGTGGCCAACTTGAAAAAGTTTGTTTAACCATGCTCTATCTACCTGGATAATACTATAAAAGTAATCATTTCAAACTCAAATGAAAGAATGGCTTGGATTATCAAGAGAATGCATTATTACCCCAGGTTATAGGGTTTTCTCTCTCTTTCAAGTCTCTCACTCATTTTATTGAAGAGAAAGATGACATAAAAACATCTAATTTTTTTCAAGAGCAGCTTCTGAAACCTTTCAGTACTCTAACAAACCCATCTTGGAAAACATTCGGTCTACCATCTTTAAGCCCTCAGGACCTTTTCAACTTTTTCAAACAATAAGCTTCAAGACATCAACCCCACCTCTCCTTTTCCCCCAATCTCTCCCTTCCTTCACATACATTTCTGCAGCTCCTCCACCTTCAACCACCACCACCACCCTTGAAGAAAAACCATCCAAGATCATCGTGGCCCTACCTTTCATTTAAAAGCAAAAAATCATGAACTTTTTTTTTAAAAAGGCATATAGAGAGAGACAGAAATGGTACATAACTTGGCAGTCATAGTGAAAAAAGGGGAGCGGGCCCCCTCAAAAACTCTCTTCTGTACAGACAGATAAGACTTTGGGCGGATTGGCCCAGTTCTACTCCCTCCAGAAAGTTCTCCATCTTGGGCTGAGGAAATCAAAAGGAGGAGGAGGAGAAGGAGGAGGAAGAGGAGGAGATGAAGAAAGAAGAAAGAAGAAAAGGAAGAAAGAAGAAGAGGAAGAAAAAAGAAAGAAGAAGAAAGGAAGACGGGGGGGGAGAAAGAAAAGGAAAAAAAAAGAAGTTAGTGCATTTTTTGAGATTCAAATTCAACTTACCAGTCTTCTTTTGGGCTTTATCAGCGGCCGATTTTGCCCATTCATTTTATGATACAATCCACAGGCGTTACAGAGGTAATGCCCTGTGCCATCTCTCCTCCATAGTGGGGTTGAGGTAGCTCCACAGTTTACACACTCCCTGCCTTCTGAAAACAAAAGGGGACATTCATTGAGGGACAGCAAAGGGAAGAAACAGGGAAGCTGGGTTGGAAATAGTTAGAACAGGTTTTCTCCCCCCCACCACCAAGCTCAACATTCAGGTCTAACCACCTCTAGTCAAAAAGCCAGAGGTGTTAGAATTAAATAAGTTGCCATTAAATCACAGGGATTGGTTTATTACATTTCTATACTGCTGCATCTCGGGACCCTTGGCAGATCACCACCATGATAAAATGCAGAAATAAAACAAGATGCCTTACTTCCACCACCGCCCCCCCCACACACACACACAATTAAAACCATAATCCTAAAACACATTGACATTAGAGAATGAGAGCTGTGTAGCAATTGGATTCAAAAGGGAATCTCAGGAAAACACCGTTGGTGCTCTGACAGGTGTAACAATGTACACACCTGCACACATTCTGAAACACCTTTTCCCTTTTGAATTCAGATCACAGCACCATCTAGAAAATACACCTCTCTTTCTTCCACAGGATAGCAGTTTTTTTCTGAGTAAGTGTGCCTAGAACGGTAGAGCTGTTGAGAAATCCTGAAACTGATTTCACATCAACACAAGCCTACTTAGAAATATGTCCCATTGAGTTCAATGGCACTAACACTCAGAGAGGATGTCGCAGAGGGCTGGAACCTCCATGAATTTTCATTCATCTGGTTAACACTGCATAGATTTGCCAGTGAATGGGGCACTGGCTCAGATTAAAATTTGATCGTTCTCAGAATCAATAAGCCTACCAAATTCAAAAGAAATTTGCATCAGCCATGACCAACTTTGAGTTCAATGGGTTTGTTTCACCATGTAACTAACATTATGAGTGCATTTCTTTTTGAACAAATAATGTGTCACATCTATTACAACCTTCAAATAATCTAAACTTCTTTCAGACTGAAACCCAGACACCTACAGCTTTAGCAGTAAAAATAATGAATAACAATTTATAACTATAAATTATACAGCTGAAGAAAGAGACAGGCTGCTTCATTATTGAGGAACAGTAGTTTAGCCAGTGGAGAGATTCTTTTAATTAATTAATCCAACCCATTAAATGTTGCAGCTCCATAAATGATTAGAACCTTTTATTTTGAGAAGACAGAGCTAGTCTAATAAAGCTAATGTACTACTTAGTTCTCTGCATTTACTCAGAAGTTCATCCCCCTCGAGTTCAACAAGACAATCGTTAATAGAAAGGCTTGTTGACATTCATTTTTTTTCCATTCCATAACCACTAAACTGTTTAGATAGGAGTAAAAGATTTAAAAACACGTACAAACAAAAGCAAACATCTTGCAATTTGAAATAACCAGTTAGAATGAACTAGTCATGTACATACAAACTGGTTAAGACTGAAAGACGGCCAACAACTGATCCCCAATTCCCTGAATGTATGGAAAGTGGCAATAATCTAGATGATAATATATTGTATATATACACTTTCTACAAAGTAGTCATGCGGCTGTCGAGAGAGATGAAAATACACGTGGCATTACTGATAAATTTTCACAGGCAGGTTGGCTGTCTTTATACAAACCTCTTAACAAAACCCATTAAAGCAGATGCAACTGCATAAGTTAACCTTGGTTTGGGGTAACCTTGGTTACACATCTGTTATTTAGTGTATTGTGCAAACCAGTGATGGCCCAGTGTATTGCAGGAAACCAGAAACTGAGTTATTTCAGTAGGCAAGTTCAGTATGTATAGAAAGGGAGCCAGTGGTCCTCAATGTCCTCTGTTAATTTAGGTAATTTAAAGTTTTAAAGGTTAACTAAGTTGTTTATAGGCATTTGATCCAGGTGCACACTCATTAAGCATGAAAAAGTTCAGGTCCAACCCACTGCTTTTTTTTTCTTCAGATATTTAGGCAACTGTATATCATGCATCTATTAATATTTCCTTTTTAAAATAAAAATGCCAGATGAAAAGGCCCTACAAGGTGTAAATAAATAGCCATGGCCAGACAAATTATACCTATTAAAATTAATCCATGACAGAGGACATTGAGGACCATTGGCTCCCTTTCTACTACACAATGAATTTGGCTACTGAAATAACTCAGTTTCTGGTTTCCAGCCCTCTAAGCATTCCCAGATGAAAAATATTTCCCATTCGTAGAATTGGCCATTCCTACCATTTATCCAGAATAACCTGTTCCCTATTCCATGCCTTGCATGCTGGGATGAAACAAAGTAGATCTTCATCAAAGCTGATTTTTCTGAAGTCTAAACATATCCAGTTTGTTCAATCACTCCTTTTTCTAGCTCAGATTCCAGTCTGCCCATAAACATTATTGTCCTTCTTGGAACCTGTTACAGTTTCCCTGAAAACTTCTTAAAATAGGATTCCCAGAGCAAACACAATGCTAGAGGTGTCCTCTGACCAAACCAAGTCAAAGCCAGGTCCCATTTCACATGTACTAACCCAGGTGTCGTTCAGCTTATATTTGTACTCCTGGATCCTTCCCTTACCTGTATCTAAATATGACCTAAATACATTCTGGCAACCTTTTCTTCTGCCTTTGTATCTCCCTCTGCCTATAACAAGATTACACTGACCTTACCAATACTACTGTCAAAGTACTTTTTCCCCATTCATCTGAAACCATCTGTGGGTAGCCTTAAAGTATGTCAAATCTGGGAAATTTTGCCACCCATTAGATGACTGCAATGACTGGCAACCGAGACAGGGAAAGGAATGACAATGGGGACATCAAATGTCATGCCAGGCTAGTTTGCTACCAACTCAAGGATGATTGGAGAGCAGAACCCAGATTTTTGCTTTCTTTTTCCCAGGTGAAAAACTTCGCATCCATCTCTGCTAAGGTCCTCGTCCTCTTCTTGAAACCCCACTGGTACTTCTTCTCAAAGAAGAGAGCATCTTTTCCTCCACTGAATCTGATGAGGAAAGGGGTGCCCCAGAAAACAAAGAGGCTCCCCGATCCTGTCCTATAAGAAGGCTATAAGGAACACCTCAGTGAATTAAACCATGGGACAATCTCAATAAAGTGCTCTGAACTTTCTAACACGCTACGCTTTTACCATGTTCCTGGAATGAGTACATGCCTTTTTATAATGTCATTATTTTTTTCTATTCCTGTTGAAATTTAGATTAGAAGTTCCTTGGGATAAAAAGTTGCCTCTCCCCCCGCCCCCCATCTCATGAATGGAATGATGATGGCATAATATAATTACTGCCACTGCTCTACCTCAGATAAATCTCACCATTTTTCTCGGTAGCTTTCTGCAGTGCAGCATTATATTATGACACTGAGACCATTGTTAGCTTAAAATGAAACAAGCATAAGAAGAACAGTTGTGATGCTGTCTTCATCAACCAGCATCATGACCACAGATTGAAGATCAGACACTATTTTTTTTTTTTCTACCATGAACAAGATGTACTCCAACTAGAGGACTTATTTTAAAAGCAGCTTGACTGGGTAACCTAGGACACACTTTTTATGCAAAACCATGGGATTTGGGAGTGGGGTGTGGACAAAGCAATCAATGTACCCAGACTTTAATCTCAGTCAACCCAGCCGTATTTTATTGGATTGCATCCTGTTTCCGTGGATCAATCTACCTCCTATAAAGCTGAAACTTATTTACAGATTTAAAATGTACTTTTCCTACAGACTACTTCATCCCGAAGGAGGCCACCCCCTCCTCCATTTCTTCAGCTGTTTAAAAGACAAAACTTGCAAAAACAATAACATAAAACGAGATCAAACCAGAACTTTATGCAAGGACTTATCTTCCCTGCATACTAATTAATATAAATAACTTGAACTTTGCAAACTTCAGCAGCAGATGTTAAAGCCAGGACCATAAAGTCTAAGCAGTTTTCACATGCAAGATTAAACAGCACTTATTCGTGCCACATGTTGATGTTGTTAATAGATGCAGAAAAATGTATACATTCTAATGTCAGTTTTATATTTGCATTGCAGACCTATTGGTGTACAAAAGCGCCTGCAGTCGATTCGTGCCAATATTAAGTATCTTCCAGGGGGGTTTGATCTTTTAACACACATTTAGGAAGAAAGGAGGCAAAATGTTTTTGAAAATGCATATGCTAGTAATTGTTTTTTCTTTGAATGTGGGTCAAGGGGACAGGGCTTTTAAACTAATGTCTAATCTAATCCTATCTCACGTTAATTCAAAAGTAAACTTCATTGTATTCTGGGAAGCACTGCTTCCCAGGATGTTTAACTCTGCATCCTTTGAGGGCAAACCGCTAAATCGATGGAGCTCATCTGAAATAAGGCACAGTCCCTACCAGAAGGCAACACCTGAAAATCACCATTCAATCTTCAAATACAGGTACAAGTAGTCCCCAGTTTAAGAACAGGTTCTGTTCCCAAGATCTGTCCTTAAGTCGAATTTGTATGTAAGCCGGAACAGTATTATTGTATAATGCTGTATAAGTAGTATTGTGTAATGAACTCGAACCGCTGTGTGTTTAACTCGAAATATTGCTACAATGGGCTCCGTTCTTAACTATGGATCATCCTTAAACCAGGCGTTCTTAACCCAGAGACTACCTGTAATTAAAATAAGAATGCTTCCCGTGAGTGTATGCAGTATTCTCCAACCAGATATCCAAGACAATTCCACATTAGGTAGAGCAGTGTTTCTCCACCTTGGCAACTTGAGGATGTGTGGACTTCAACTCCCAGAATTCCCCAGTCAGCATTCATGGACCTCAACTCCCAGAATTCCCCGGCCAGCATGCTAAATAAATAAGACCTTGGTTTTATTTATTTATTTAATAGCCTGCCCTTGTTTTCAGGAGCTCAAGGTGGTCCACCTAGCAGCACCCTCATCCTATTTTTTTGCCCCCATCACCACAACCCTGTGAGATAGCTTGGGCCAAGGGAGAATATCCAAGAGACACTCAGGGATCATCCATGGCTAAGGGGGGACTAGTGTCTCCACTCCTAGTCCAACACCTTCAGCACTACACTGCGTG